CTATTTGCCGTACAGAATATACCTCAAGAATGAGGTCAACCCTATCCTCACTATATGTGAGGTCAGACTCGTTAAAGTCCTCTATCCGGAAGGTATTCCCAACTTATTGTTTGTTTCTTTTTGTACTCATTATTTGCCGACAATTGCAAATAGGATGTCAGGTAACCGTTAGGTTAGGGAAAGTGATCACAGGTTATCAACCGGTGATTGGTATGTATTTCGCTGAATCGCAAATCATATCGAAATCCACTTTCGCTGAGTGCGAGGAAATAGATGGACTCAAACAGACCTCTGGTCTTCAAATGCTGGCCTTTGGAGACTATATTAATCAAACGTGTCTGTCATCGGAAATCAACCCTGATACTGTGCCTTATTTAATCGGTGATCGCAAAGTGTTTTGTTTGGGAGATCAGACCACTAAATATAACAAATCGCTTACTTATCCGCATTCATTTGGTGAGTATTTTAGATTTAATATTCAAATCATGAACATTTAAATTAATAAATTAGTATTAATAATAATTTAATTTCATTAAACAGGGCATGAAATATCCAGTGCTCGAACGCGTATGTAGTCAATGCACTCATATACTAAATGATACTGGTCATTTATTGAAAAATCATTTATTTATACTGTATATTATAAGCGACTACTGTCCACAAGACGGAAGACTTGGATTACTGTATGTGTCTCTTCAATGGCAGTTCAGCCCTCAAATCAGTTTCTCTGAACGTCGAGTACATGAAGCTATTGAGTTGTGATTCAGACTTTGTTGATGTGCCGGATATACTGAATTACACCGCCGTTACCGCTGATGGAGCCCACACTCTCAGCATATCCGTCCAAATTATATACCAGAATAGGATCACTATGTTTGGTATGATATTCACTCAGTTATTTGAACATGGTTAACAATTAATGGTTCACAATTATACTCTATTTCTTACCAAATAGGTCTAAATGTCTTACTATATATGGGACGTGTCATTGGTGGCAGAGAATTAAATAACCAGTACTTGATTTCTGTGTCCATATTCACACCGACAGAAAGGATCAAATGTCTCACAGAACCACATCTCGACTCAATCGACGGCTCCACTAAAGTAATGATAACTGATTTGTTGACAATCAAGCAATACATCAGAAAACTTCGTCTACTGAGGAATCTATCAGATATTTTTGCAAACATTCCTCCCATTACCCTATGCTGTGGATCTACTGTTTATAGTTATACACCCGGCCTATCAGACGGAACTATTAGTTGTCCCAGTTGTTAATTTTGTTATAATTATTTATTTATTTATTTATTTTCATACTTTATTTTTAAAATAATTATTTATTTTATCAATTATCCAGAATAAAAGTTATTAATTTTTTGTTGTGATGTATGAGTGATATTTTGATTTAATTAATAAATGAAGTTTTAAACTTTTATAAGAAAATTAAGATTATAAAAAATATAATAATTTATCCTAAAATTTTTAAATGATCTTTATTGTAGTAGTAACTCAATTATATTTAAGTTAATTCAGTAAACTATAATTTTAGAAACTAAAATAGGTTTGCACACAAATACAGTTGAGTACATTTATGAAATGTAGTATGACACAGTACTGTACCGCACAGTATTGATTTCAATAGACAATAGTTTTTCAAACACTTATCATTTTAATATTTATTCAGCAAAATAATTATGTTTACATCATCTATAATATTTTCTATTACCATTAAGTTTAATATCAAACTGTTATATTATTAAATTATAAATTATAATAAAATTAAATTATGTTTACAAGANATATCAAACTGTTATATTATTAAATTATAAATTATAATAAAATTAAATTATGTTTACAAGATCTCAACAATTTTATAAAAAATATAATAGGTTTGAATTTAATAATTGAATTTTTAAAATGACACTGGTAGTTTAAACTTGCTTTTTTGATTTCTTAATTATAGAGTACTATATCGTTTGACTTTTAGAAGAATGAAAAAATTTAAAAATTTGATCATTGTATTTATGATCATCCTGTTCATTTATTTTATATACAGCCATTTCAATGTCAAACAAGTTGATGTAATTAAAAGGACTAATTCTGTAAATAATAATCAGATTAATAAGACATTTAAGATACTATTGTGGACAACATATTTCATGAAAGACTGGTCTATTGGTGATACCAAGAAGTGCGAGTACTCTAATTGTATTACGACTGGTAATAGAGAGCATATGGATTCAAGTGATGCCATACTATTTCATTTAAGAGATGTTGATATGACTGATACTCCGAAGACTAAACCATTGAATCAGAAATGGATTCTCTATAATATGGAATCGCCTGTATATACATACATGAAATATCCGTTTAAAATATTTAATATCCGTCTTTTTGACTCAATTGATTGGGTAATGAGTTACAGGACTGATTCAGATATCTATACACCTTATGGTTTGGTTAATAAATGTAAGACTAAATGGAAACCAAATTATATTTATAAAAACAAACATAAATATATGGCTTGGATTGTCAGTCATTGTGACACTTCATCCAAACGGGAAGTATTAGTAAAACAACTGCAGAGGTATTTAGACGTTGATATATATGGTGATTGCGGACCATTCAACTGTTCCCGAGGATATCACTCGTGTTTTGATTTCATTGAAAAAAATTATAAGTTTTATTTATCGTTTGAAAATTCTGTAAGACTTAATAATACTTATTGTTGTATTTACTATATTAATATTTAATTTTTATGAATTTTTATTTTATTTATTCTTATAGCTTTGTAAAGACTATGTGTCTGAAAAGTTATTCAATGCCATGAAATACGATATAATCCCAATTGTCTTCGGTTCGGCCAACTATACGGCAATACTGCCCCCAAACTCATACATCAATGCCTTGCAATTCCCAACGATGACAACACTCGCCGATCATCTGATCGAAGTGGCCATTGATAAGGATCGATACGATTCTTACTTTCACTGGAAGAATGATTATTGTGTTCAAGATGTCGACTATTTGTGCGAACTTTGCGAACATCTTAATCTAAATGCAGTTAAAACTAGAGTCAGTACACGAAAAAGGGATATAGTGTCCTGGTGGATCAATGATGCCCACTGCCAAACTATCCAGCTCGTTTGAGTTTATTTATCAGTACACAATTAGATTGTAATTACGCAATACTAATAATAATATGAAATAGTTTATATTATAATTTATAATTTGTGATCAATGTTATCAAAACAGACACTCGAATCATATCAAATAATTTATATAAAAACATTCACAGGTATAATCTAAAGTCCAATATTTTAAAAGTTTTTATTGCTTTTAAAAATTAATGTAATATTTAATAAAACATCAATTATTTTTTGATAAATTTTACTTCACTTATTATTGACTAAAATATAATTTGATTTTCATAATGAACGATATGAGAGCCATAAAATTTGTATTTCTTGCATTTATAATCATATCACTATATATTAACGGAACATTAATACAACAATATATTAATGGAAATCTTTATCAAAAATCAATTGTGCCCTACTCTTTAAATAATAGCAATTATCATAAGAATAAGACATTCAATATTCTCTTGTGGACAACAAATTACAAGAAAAAATGGCATACAAGTGATATCAAGAAGTGCGAGTACTCTAATTGTATGGTCATTAACAATAGAGAGCTTACGGACTCAAGTGATGTAATATTATTTCATTGGAGAGACATTGATATGACTGATATTCCGAAGACTAAACCATTGAATCAGAAATGGATTCTCTTCAATATGGAATCGCCTGTATATACATACATGAAATATCCGCATAAAAAATCTGATATTCGTCTCTTTGACTCAATTGATTGGGTAATGAGTTATAGGACTGATTCAGATATCTACAGACCTTATGGTTTGGTCACTAAATGCAAGACTAAATGGAAACCAAATTATATTTATAAAAACAAACATAAATATATGGCTTGGATTGTCAGTCATTGTAACACTTCATCCAAACGGGAAGTATTAGTAAAACAACTGCAGAGGTATTTAGACGTTGATATATATGGTGATTGCGGACCATTCAACTGTTCCCGAGGATATTACTCGTGTTTTGATTTCATTGAAAAAAATTATAAGTTTTATTTATCGTTTGAAAATTCTGTAAGACTTAATAATACTTATTGTTGTATTTACTATATTAATATTTAATTTTTATGAATTTTTATTTTATTTATTCTTATAGCTTTGTAAAGACTATGTGTCTGAAAAGTTATTCAATGCCATGAAATACGATATAATCCCAATTGTCTTCGGTTCGGCCAACTATACGGCAATACTGCCCCCAAACTCATACATCAATGCCTTGCAATTCCCAACGATGACAACACTCGCCGATCATCTGATCGAAGTGGCCATTGATAAGGATCGATACGATTCTTACTTTCACTGGAAGAATGATTATTGTGTTCAAGATGTCGACTATTTGTGCGAACTTTGCGAACATCTTAATCTAAATGCAGTTAAAACTAGAGTCAGTACACGAAAAAGGGATATAGTGTCCTGGTGGATCAATGATGCCCACTGCCAAACTATCCAGCTCGTTTGAGTTTATTTATCAGTACACAATTAGATTGTAATTACGCAATACTAATAATAATATGAAATAGTTTATATTATAATTTATAATTTGTGATCAATGTTATCAAAACAGACACTCGAATCATATCAAATAATTNGGAATTGCAAGGCATTGATGTATGAGTTTGGGGGCAGTATTGCCGTATAGTTGGCCGAACCGAAGACAATTGGGATTATATCGTATTTCATGGCATTGAATAACTTTTCAGACACATAGTCTTTACAGAGCTATAAGAATAACAAACATTTTGATAAATAAAAAACAAGTCTTAATATAGTAAATACAACAATAAGTATTATTAATTCTTACAGAATTTTCAAACGATAAATAAAACTTATAATTTTTTTCAATGAAATCAAAACACGAGTGATCTCCTCGGGAACAGTTGAATGGCCCGCAATCACCATATATATCAACGTCTAAATACCTCTGCAGTTGTTTTACTAATACTTCCCGTTTGGATGAAGTGTCACAATGACTGACAATCCAAGCCATATATTTACGTTTGTTTTTATAAATATAATTTGGTTTCCATTTAGTCTTACATTTATTAACCAAACCATAAGGTGTATAGATATCTGAATCAGTCCTGTAACTCATCACCCAATCAATTGAGTCAAAAAGACGGATATTAAATATTTTAAACGGATATTTCATGTATGTATATACAGGCGATTCCATATTATAGAGAATCCATTTCTGATTCAATGGTTTAGTCTTCGGAGTAT